CATCCATCCATCCATCCATCCATCCATCCATCCATCCATCCATCCATCCATCCATCCATCTATTCATGTAAATGAAATTGTGCAAGAATGAAATTTAAAGATTATCATAATAATGCTACAAAATACATCCTCATATAAAGAAACATGACTGAAGGAAAACTGGCTTGCAGTTGTATTCAGCTTATTATAACAGTCTAGTCAATGTTCCCCGTGACCATGCTCACGTTTGCGTCTCCCCCGGTCCGAGAGTTGCTTTGCTCTAAATGCTTCGTCTTCTGGTAGCAAATCTTTATCTTCTTTTGCATAACTTTCATCTAATCCTTCATAAGGAACTGTATAAAAACAATCATTCAGTTTACTAAACAGAAAATCCTATCTAGTATGAGCTACCTAGAATTCAAATGTAAAAGAAGACGGCAGCAACTGTTTCTCTCACTTTTAAATGTAAATAACCTAGGTGCTGGGCTTCCCACAGTCCTTCAGTCTGCATTTTGACAAGCTGGTTTTAAGTACAATCAGGTGGCTATTGGTTTGTTATCCATAAGATAAAAGTGCTTCTACTGTACCTGTACACCAAGGCTCAGGAAACAAATCAGAAAAGGGTTAGGAAGTATTGTAAGTGCTAGAAGACTAGGAAGCCAGCTGAGAAACACTGACTTCTAAATACGATAGGGATGTTATACACACGAAATTTCAACAATATAGTCACATAAACAAGAATGGCACAATGGCCGCACCAGTTGACAGCTGGAGTGGATGGGGGAAATTTTTCAAGGCTTCACCTCCAGGTAAAGAGCTGCAGGCAATTAATAGCTATTGAGTGTGTGTGTGTGTGTGTGTGTGTGTGTGTGTAAATATATGTATGTGTTTGTGTGTGTATGTGTCTGTGCATGTGCCTGTAGGTATGACTTCCATATTTATTTAAAGAGGAAGTGGTCATGAATTTGGAGGGAGGGGGCAGCACGAGGAGTTGCAGAAGAGAGAAGGAGGAGTGGAAATGATGTAAACACAGTACTTATGTACAAAATTCTCAAAAATAAAAATTTAATTAAATGTGATAATATATCAACAAATAAATTTTTCTTATTTGTTAATATAAGAAAATAAACAACAAAATTTTATAAAACAAGGAACTAGGTGTTGGAAATAAAAAAAGGAATTTAAAATATTTTTAATGAAATCATAGAAGAAAATATCCCAGATCTAAAGAAAGGGATATCTATCAAGGGCAGGAAGCATAAAGAACAGCAAATAGATGGAGTCAGAAAAGAAATTCTTCACAACATGTAACAATTAAAACACTAACTGTACAGAACAAAGAAATGATACTAAGAGCTTCAAGGGAAAAAGACCAAGTCATATATAAATGAAGGGACATTAGAATAATATCTGGGTTTTCAAAGAAGACTCTGAAAGCCAAAAAAGTCTGGACAGATGTTCTACAAGCTCTGAGAGAACACAGATGGCAGCCCAAACTACTATACCAGAAAAAGTATCCATTACAATTAATGGAGAAAGAGAAACATTCAAACATTTTCTGTAAACCAAGCCAGTTCTATAGAAGGCAGAGAATGGAAAACATCACCATAAAGAACTACACTAGGGAGGAAACAAGGAACAGGCAATCAATAGTGAATACTCAATCAAGACAGCAGGAAGACCCATACCACCACAACAAAGTTATAAACTAATATTTCCTATTCACATAGGTGGGTGCAAAAAATTCTCAACAAAATATGTGTAAATTGAATTAAAAACACACAAAAAGATTATCAACCATGATTAAATTGGTTTTATCCTTGAGAATCAGGGATAATCAACATATATAACTCAATAAATATAATCTACCACAGGAACAGACTGAAAAGAATCTCATTATATCCAGAAAGGGTCTTTAACAAAACCCAATGTCTCTTCATGGTAAAAACTTTGGAGATAAGGGACATCCTTCAACATAATAAAGGCAATTTGTAGGAAGCACACATTCAACATCATGCTAAATGGAGAAAAACCTCAAGAATCTGTATGGAATTATAAGAGACCTCAAAAAGACAAAAATCAAGTAAATTCCATCACTTGTAATAATATAGATGGCATCATGCTAGCCAAATTTAACAAAAATGCCACACATATTATACACACACACACACACACACACACACACACACACACACACACACACACACACACACACCAAAACTACCAAAAATCAAAGAAGTGGAGACCAGAACAGAGGTTACAGAGAGCATGTGCATGGAAAATGAACAGCCGTTTAATTACATTTGATCAAATGCATCAGTTTTAATGACTGTTAAAAACGGAATGTTGAGTAAGAACAGCGAGTGAGGAAACACATCCAGTTTGCTTCCATCCACTTCAGATTAAAGACGGGAAAGCTAAAAAATATTTGTACAATAAAATAAGTAAACACATAGTAATAACAGTAAGCAAAGAGTTACAAGGACACATTGAAAACTTTCAAACATTGCTAAAACAAACTAAAGAATACCAAAATAAAAATGTGCCCCATATTCATAAATGGTAAGATTTAAAATTTCTAAGAGGTTAATATTTGTCATGTTGATTTACAGATTCATTGAATTAAATATCAAAATCTGTAGGCTTTTTTTTTTTTTTACAATAAACAAATAAATGTTGAATCTAAAATTTGTATGGGACTATGAGAGAATAAAGACAGACAAAATAACAATGTTACAATGAAGGATCATGTTTGAGGATTAACAATTCCCATTTCAAAATCCACCCCACAACCACACAATGAACATAATATGGTATTAGCAAAAATATAGACATATATACCAACAGAACAGAATCAAGCTCACAGAAGATTGATTCATTTTTTTAAAGCCACAATGTCAATACACTCAGTGGAGAAAGAGCACATCCTTCACAAGTTAGTTAAGTTCTAGAAAATTAGGCAAACATGTTAATTTTCATCAGGGCAAAGGCTAGTTCTCCCTCCAGGCCCTGGTTAGTCTCTCACATCACAGTCCTTCACCAGACTTTGGAACATACAAACACTCCCAAGATTATCTCACACATTTTCACAACTTCAGCTTTTTAGGAGACAGTGGTTGTCTTTTGTAACAGCTAGAATGTTCAGACTTGAAAGCTGGTGTCAACTAGGGCAGATACATTCACCTAGTTGCCTTCCGCCCATTATTAAGGTCTGTTACTTCCACTTCTGATGCATAATCCCCAAAGTTGTCCTGTATCATGCAGGGCCATAGTTAAGTGTGTTGCTATTGAGCTTTACTTCTCTCAAAAGAATTAAAATTTTTTATTTAAAAAATTAGTCCTGGGACAAATTGATTTCCAAGTACAAAAGAAAGGGTTGGACCCCAATTAATTAGGTTGGACCTAATTACCTGCTCTTACAGAGGAACAGAGCTCAGTTCCCAGCAATGACAAAGTGCAGCTCACAACCGCCTGTAACTCAAGTGCCAGGAGACCTGCCACTCTCTTCCAGCAACCACAGAATTACCCATACATGTACCCATACATCCCATACATATGTACACATACACTCATACACACACACTCACACCAAAAAGTAAACCTTAAGAAAGAAAACATGGCATAGATATTTATAACCTTAGATTTAGTGAAGAATTATCAGTAAGGACAACAAAAAGTATAAGTGACAAGAGAAATACAGAAAAACTGAGCTTCACAAAATTGAGATCTTTTGTGAACTTAACATGATCCAAAAACTGAAACAACACACCAAAATAGGAGAAAATGGAGACAAATCAACTATCTTATACAGTTAGTATTCATAATATAAAAAGAAATAGAAAGGACAACACAATCAGATAAAAGACTAAGGATTTGGTTGACACTACTCCAGAAGTCATAAAATGACCAGCAAGTGTGTGGAAAGGAAAGGTATTCCCATGTGGAGGACAGATGTTATGTGAGTCACAGCACAAAAAGGAGACCAGAGATTGCCAGACTTGGAGGAGGAAGAATCAGAGCTGTCACTTTGTAGCCGTGAGAGATCCTGGAGATAGATATCATGATGGTCACACAACACTGTGGGTGTACTTAATGGCCCCAAATTGTATATTTAAGTCAGTTCAAATCAACTCTTGCTTAATATCATAACCTACTTGGAGTCCTGACCATGAGCTCTTCTCGTCTGAGTATCCCACTGGACAGGAAAGACGCAGAGGCCTGGAGTCCTCACCGTGAGCACTCCTTGTTTGCCACAGGGCAGATGCAGAAATACTTCCACTGAGAAGCACAGCAGTGATGCTCCGCCCCCTCCTAAATCTCAACCATTTCACTTTATTTGGAAAGCTGAGGCCAAGGCAATGCAATCTAAATGGGCCTATTAAAGACAGGTATGCATAGAGAATAGCGCTAGCTTTGTTTTTATACCTATTATATGCCAAATCCTCAGAGAACCTAGCAAAATACCAAGTTTTCAATACCAGAAACCGTCTCTTCTGATATATCCAGATGGATTTTTGATTCACTTTAGAGCTAAGGAGGCTAAATCTACTCTTGGTTTAGGCAAAGGTGTCATTTCCTTGTGCAGAGAAGTCTTAGTTGAAATGGAGTCTGAGTAATGTAGTGAGACTACATCAAATTAATTCTTACACAACCTCCAGTGAGGATATGTATCTTCTGGTACTATGTTACATTGGTTGGTATTTAACAAGGTTCTTATGTATGGGGAGACCCAAACCTTCACATTTCAGGTTACACAAGAGGAAATCTTTTTACCTTCAGAGTTTTCTTCGTCTGTATGAAATAGCATTTGTTCTGATGCTTCAGCCTTAACGACAAAAATTATAGAAAATAATTACAAATAATGTACATCAAAGCTCTGTTTAACTTATTCTTTTATCAGGAAGCTAGCATTTCACCCTAATCCATGTTCCCATTACAGCAACATTTTATTTTTCATTACTCCCTGAATTTATTAAATAAAAAGATATGAACAATATGCAGATCTGAGAACACTGAGACCACTTAAATGGGCAGGCAGTCAAACCAACATTATAGCTCTTGCTTAAAATGACATTTTAACCTGCACAATTTTTTAGACAAGGCCTAGTGGCTCACAGATTCTTTCTATAAGCCTGTTTTAGTAACATCCATGATAGAAACATACTGTGGAGATATGTCATGTGCACATGGACTGTTTAATCCTTTTCCTCAGCATTTTTGGTCCTAAAAAATGCCATAACTATAGCCAAACTAGTGGAAACACATGAACTGTGGACCAATAGCTGAGGAGCCCCCATGGTACTGGACTAGGTCCTCTGGATAAGCGAGACAATTGATTAGCTTGAACTGTTTTTGGGGCCTCCACACAGTGGGACCAGGACCTGTCCCTTGTGCATGAGCTGGCTTTTTGGAGCCCAGTGCCTATGGTGAGACACTTTGTGCAGCCTTGGTACAGGGAGGAGGGTATTCAACCTGCCTCAACTGAATGTACCAGGGTCTTCTGACTCCCCATGGGAGACCTTGACTTGGAGGAGGTGGGAATGGGGGATGGATTAGGAGGGAAGGCTGGAGGGCAGAAGGAGGGAGGACAGGGGAATCTGTGGTTGGTATGTAAAATGAATAGAAAATCTCTTAATAAAAAAATACCATAACTAAATACTTTTCTAATTAATGTAGTTCTTACAGTTTTCTACCTTTTAAGTGTATATAAAATTACTTAAAGTGATTATGATTTCATAATCAAACCTTTTTATACTATAAATATAATTGTTGATTAATCTTAAATAAAAACTGAAAATTTCCCTCATGCCATGAATCATACATTATAATTCATCATGAAATTAAACAACTTTCTGTCAATACCAACTAGAATGCCTTATACATTGAAATTTTTACTTAGATTTCCCAAATATTATTTCCAACCTACTAAACCTAAACCACATGTACTAAAAAGCAAACTTGTTGTTCTTTTGAAATAAGGAAGTATTGATGAGGTTTAATCAGCAACTATTCAAAACACTAAAAGAATCTAGTAACCTAAAAATAAACAATTTTCAAGCAATATCGTACCTTTTCAATTTCTTTGGCAAGATCAGGAAATGACACCAGGGACCACATCTTCATCTCCTTTGGCAGGGGCGAGCCCGACTCTAGCCTCTCTTCAATAAATGGCAGTGCTGTAAATGACTTAAAGACCTCTTGTGGGAAGGCTGAAACATCTGAGACACCATAGAAACCCTCTAAAGCTGAAGGATCTAAATCAGCAGAGATAGATCGTCTCCTCTCCAAGCTTTAGAATCACAAAATGTCTAGTGTTAGATTAGGTGGACAACACTGGATTTGTAACTGAAGAATCATTTAATTGACAAAGGTATTAAGCAAGCAACTCTAAGGTGCCAAGTAATCAAAGGTAATTCTGATACAAAATTGATGTCACACAAGTTGAAGATGGTAATGCATCTTGAGAGATTTAAAGTGAAAACACAAAAAGTACATGTACAATATTGCGGTGGTCGTTCATGATAACAGCGCATAGAACAGCAGCCTTGGCTAGCCTAACTGAATGTACAATAGCCTGGAGGATGCTTTTTAGTCATATTTACTAGAAAAAAAAAACAGCTTCACAATTTCATTTCAGAATGGAATTAAAACCTCACCAGAGGCCGGGCGGTGGTGGCGCATGCCTTTAATCCCAGCACTCGGGAGGCAGAGCCAGGTGGATCTCTGTGAGTTCGAGGCCAGCCTGGTCTACTGAGCGAGATCCAGGAAAGGTGCAAAGCTACTCAGAGAAACCCTGTCTCGGAAAAAACAAAAAACAAAACAAAACAAAAAACCTCACCAGAGAAGTTTTGACAATAAAAGTTTTTTTTTTTTTGTTTTGTTTGTTTTAAACAAGTCAACCCCAAGTTCAGAGTTAGTTTTCTTTGAAGTAAGGTTTCCTTTCAGACACCAAATTGGCTTTTCTTCCCCTCCACAAGGCATGAGATTGGCTCCTCAGTTTCCAGACCTAGAGTGGCCATGGAGTACTCTCTGCCTGCATAGTCCCAGTTTATGCATCTACCAATATTCAACACCAGGTAATAATTTAAATGATGTAAGTACCTACATTTTCTACAAAACTCAACAAAGACTTCCTTCTTATTGGGAGCATCACTAACCACTTGTCTTGAAGCAGTCTTAACCAGTTCAAGATTCTGATGGCTTATCTTAATCGAACAATACTTTGGTTGAAAAAAAAAATCATGTAACATTCGTTGCAAGGTCTCTAAAATAATCCAGTGAAGTGGGCAAGACATTTCTGAAGACAGACTTCTGCAGGGCTGTTATAAAGCAGGCTCTAAGATTGCAGGGAATAGGGGCCTTCCTCTTCCCAGTGGCCAAGCATAACATCTCACCCTCAAACACGATTTACTAGTTTTGCCTAGTATTTAAGATGACTAATTATAGACTACATATTCTTTTAGAGGTGATTTTAAAGACACACACAGAGGACTCTTGTCACCAGGTTGCTGAAGCATGAAAATGGTTCAGGTGCACACTGTGAACCATGTTCATTTAGAAACTTTTTTTGCGTTGTAACACAGACCATCCTTGCGTTAATGTTTGTGTGCTGCTGTAAGAAGAGAGTACAATATTTTTAAAGTTTTGACGTGGAAATTTGATTTGGAGGCATCATTATTCACTTGATCTAAGCAGGTAAATCGTCATGTATAGCAACAGAGAAAGGATGTAGCAACCCCCAAAAGCATGATCTGAAATACTGACGAGAAGCTCATTTATAAGCATTCTCTCACACTCAGGCTTTACCTACGTCTCATCTCCTGGACTTACAAAAGACCCCTGGATAGAACCAAGGAATGTATGCTGGGAAGGTCAGGAGGAAAAAATACTAAATGGATGCAATCAGTGGTAGATTGTGGCTGACATCAGTCCAATCAGTACCTCTGAGATGTGGACACAGCCATGTATTCAAAGCCTTACTGTGAACCGTGAAGGAGGAGGTGGAGAACGGAGTCTGTGGGAAGCAGTGAATACTCATAAAGACAATAATGCCAATAATAAGAGGAATGATGAAAGTGATGTGCATTGGCCCTCTTCTCTGGTGTAGTTTGTAAGTCTTATCAATTTGTGTCATTCACCACCTGCCTCAGCTTAAGGCTCGTTATAGCCATCACTGTACTGAAACATGAAAGAGCACAGCAGTGTCATCTGAGGCACAGGCTTTGACAGTGTTCATACAGCACAGGGACAGCGTTCCCTGAGGCTCATACAGTGCTGACACCTGTGCAACATGATGCTGGATTTCCACTCTCACCTACCCTATCTGGTGAACCTGCTGATTCATATCTTCTCTTCTATTGGTCAATACTTAGAAACCAGCCTGTTCAAGACTAGGTCACAGCCAGAGGTGATGGAGAGACTTATGGTAATGAGACTCAAGCACAGTGGGAAGACACAGCAGAGGCAGCTCTTCATCTCTCAGTGGCATGGGTGGCTCTCTTACTTCCCCTTTAATGCCTGGGAAGAGACGGTTCCCCAAGAGTGCTCATTGGGGACCATGTTTGCACTGCTCCACCTTGATGTGCGTTTTTATTACAAGGCCATTGCCCTGACCAGCAAGTTCTCCCGTGTATGTGGTTAATTAGGTATTCCCTATACTCTTCCAATTCCCCTGTCATTTGGTAATGATGTGTGAAGAGGGTATGTGAAGAGGGGTCCCTCTCTGAAAACACTTTCAGTGATGAATCCAGCTGTGCCCAGTTTACGAGCATTTCTCCATAGAATGGTGTCTTCCTTGGGGATATTTTTACCTCTGCTGCTTCTTATATTATTAGGTTTTCTCTAGAAAACCTCTCTTATGTCTAAGTCACTAGTTATAGACCCATGGTAAGGGCAGTGTAAAGGGCCACAGTTGACTGACTGAATTAGGAAGTCTCCTCTGGAGTTCATAACGGTAATAATAAGCTTTCACTTGTAGAAGTATGTCATGATAAAATTGGGAAAAACCTATTTTGGCATCTTATTTCATAATTAGATCTCAGTTATTCTTCCCAGTGACACAGCCTCATATGTTTGCACAGTTGGTGTCCAGCTGGTGGCTGGCGTGGGAGGTTTGTGGAGCCTTTGAGATATGAGGAAGTGGGTCACTGAGGTTGAGTTTATAGGCCCAGCCACCATGCCAGTTCCTGCTGTGACACCGAGGCCTCTGGAGGGCTCTTTGTCCCCTGGGCTGCTTCCTGTGTTTGGTCACAGTGATGAGAATGACACAGACAGGGATTTCAAAAATTATTTTCACTGTCTAGACTATTCTAGAGTTATGCATATTTGTCTGTTTTATTTTGTTTTCCAACCCCTCTCCTGTTCAAATGTGGGCATAAGAAAAGGGACCTTATCTACCTTTGCTTTGCATGAATTTCATAACTAGGAAATGCTTGGCATTTGGAAGTGACAAAAATATGTGCTGAGTGAATGATAAACTAATGCAGGAAACTTAGCAGCTAATAATTTATAGAAGAAAACCAGCATGGATAGACACTTTTGCTTTTTTTTGTCATTTTGTGATTTATAATAAGCCTCTGTAGTATTTGGGAGCAAGACTCTCCATGAATATTCAGAATGATGATGGTTGGCTGTATAACTCTTAAAAAATGAAACACCAAGAAAGAGTTTGTATTTTCATGACTTGAAGGTGTGAGTTCTAATGTGAAACATTTTCTAAAAGCTAACAATGCATATGTGTGAGACAATAAACTATTAGAATCTGTTGTCTGATTAAATGTGTCACTAACTTATTCCCTAAGCCAAAATAAACTGCTAATCATGCCAAGTGCAGAAGAATGTTCTTTATTGCAAGCAATGCCATATGTCTGCTGAGGTGGGGTCTCCTTTCGCTCCCATCCACTCTCGGAAGGTCGGGGGGCTTCCAAAGTATTTCACAAATTTTATTTGGATCTAAGGAGTAACCCAAAATGAAGGTTGGTGAATAATATTGTGTGCCATGTGCTTAACAATTTGAATTTTAAACATATATAGCAATACTTAAAATACGGCTATTAATGGGCAATTCTATAAAGTATACCAAGCAAAAATGTCATATTTCTCAGTATTGCCTTTAGTCTATACTCCAAACAAAACAAATCACTGGGCTTTTCCTTCAGCACCTTATGCAGATTCCGAACAAGCTCATGTATGCCTCAAGATCTACCCATGAAACATCTATTCCATAAAACATCTTTTATCATATTGCCCTGGAAAGGCCAACCCCATTCCTTCTGAGATTAAACGCCATAGAATTCTCAGTCTAGCTGAACATGCAGCATCCTCTCTGATGTGCCACACCACATTCAGGTTTTTGTTTTTGTTTTTTTGCATGTATCACATCTCACCTATTTTATTGCTCATGCAGTGAGGGCAAGGGCTATGTATTTGCCATCCTTCTACACCCCTTACACTCCAGCAGAATTTTTGCATGACATGGAGAGCTTCTACATCAAAATGAATTGAAATAATTTTCTGGGAATCATACAATGGACCCTTCCCTGGTAATATGCTCCACATTACCTACCAGCCCCAGTGATCTCTTGTTTCATTCACTAGTCTCCACTATGAGTTTCAAATCTGATTCACTGATAAACCTGAATGGGGTGTAACATCTCCTGAGGGATTTTTAAAGGTGTACAGTAGGTGATTAATATTTGCTTTTAAAATTTTATTTATTTATGTGAGACAGGATCTCACTCTGTAGCCCTGGATAGCTTGGAAATCCCTCTATTGACCAGCCTGACCTTGAACTTACAGAGGTCCTCTTGCCTCTCCTTTCTGAGAGCTGGGATTAAAGGCATGCCATTACGTCCAGCCTGAGACTCTTTTCTTAATGCCTTCATTGAGACGGCTATAAAGTATATTTTTAAAGTCCATGTCTTTGTTTTCTGAGATGTGGTTTACAAGGTAGTCTCCTAGGTTCATTAACAGCAACTCAATGTTCAATATTCAAACAAGTTGAATCAAGACTTATCACCACCTTTTCAGGTGACAGATGCAGATAGTCCAGAATTTCCAAAGCCTACACTCCATCGCATTTCTTTCGAGAAACCACAGAACGGTACCATACTCACCACCATCCCAGCGTGAATATGACAGCATCCTGCTTTATGTCTCCTTCCACACAGTGGGTGCTTAAACTTCCATGAGGAATTTAATTACCAACACTTTTTCTTACAATCTCCCAGTGTGTATAATGCTGACCACACATTTTAAAATGTAAAGGGACAAATGGGGAACTCTTCCCACAGGAAGATATCAAGGGTAAATGAAAAGCAATGCCTGAAGCAGAAAAAGTACACACTTTAAAGACATTTAAAAAAAACAGCACAAACATTAGAAATGGGGCCCGATCCTTGCTAATTGACCTGGGTCTGGGATCTAGAAAAATTTAAAGATGATAATAAAGCATGGATGCACACGCTGCCAGGCATTTCCTTCTATTTCGGCAAGGTGATCAAAGTAAAAAACTTTATACACAAGGCTTTGTATAGTTAAGGAATAAATAAATAAATAAATAAATAAACAGTGGCAGTTTATTTTGACTCAGTAAGACCCTAACTCCTCTGACAGAATCTGCTGCTCCATAAGTACCATGCCTCAGGAACATGATCCTCTGATGGAGCAAGTCTGGTAACGATCACGGTATGCTAATCAAAGGGGCTCAAGAGGGGAAACTGTACCCTTCATGTGGGTGGACCAGACAACTCAACAGTTTCATGCTCCTGTACAGACCAAAATGTGGATCTGGGACAGCAAGACAGGATGGTATTGAGTTGTTCTAGATATCGGCCATGTATTTTGATAACTAAATTCAAAGGAAGTCAGTTCATTACTCTAGAAATCCAATCAGGCTTTACATCTTTTGTATTTTAAGTTAGTTGTCCAAAGTAATAGCACATGAGCAAGTGACGTTATAAACAAAGACTCGGTTTGCTACTTTTGTACTTACACATATAAATCGATAACATTATGAAAAGACAGAACAAACAAGAAATGTTTTACCTTTCATCAACTAACCTTTTGCCTTTTTCAGGTGAGATCTGTAATAAATACAAAATTAAATTTATGTGTAACAAATACATATAGACAATGTTCACAATGAGTCACTTAGAAAAAATACTCAAAATAATCCCCCCCACACACACTTCGTTGTTGAGACAGGGTCTCACTCTATAGCCTTGGCTAGCCTGGCTTACTGTGTAAACCAGGCTGGTCTTGAATTCATAGGGATCTGCCTGCCTTTGTTTCATAAGAGATGATACTAAAGGAACTCATCAACATGCATCAAAATAATTTTCTTAATATGACAATCATTTAAGACAAATATATCACAAAGGCTGAGAAATTACAATTTGGCATTGGAAGACATTATGAAGAGCCAGCCCTAAAACTATTTCTCAATTAAGAGCCAATAATGGTTTTTAAATAATAATTTAGTAGATAAATTATTTTTAATCTATTTTAGGTAAAAAATTATTTTTAATGTATTTATTACCATATTATTTTAAATAAACATGCTATAGTTTATTATGCTAATGTAGTAACATGAAGGTGCTTTTAGAATTTCTGTATTTTAAATGTACATTGAGAATGCCTACTAGAATATTTATTGAGGTATCTGATCAGAGTGTAACCTGTGGCCTAAGAAGTGTGATTTTATTAATAGATGATTTCCTCTGAACAGGTATTTTTCTGACACATAGATGTCGACACTGGGTTTTATGCCAGGACCAAAGATCACCTAATTTTGCTTCTTTCATATGAACATTCTTTATCCACCTGCAGAAAGACTTCTGGCAGCTCACCAAACTGATTCCCTGTTCTTGTTAGACATTTTGCTAGTCTGCATCTCTGTGTTTCCTTCAACTTAAGTGTGGCAGATGGAAAGTTCCTCAGGTCAGTCCTGAGCAGTGAGTGTGGTGCCAGAAGCCACTTGTCCAATGGTAAGGATTCTATATGCCAGGACACATGGATGCCAGTAGAGAACTTTCCCACAGACACTGACCCTGGTTTACCCTCAGTGATGAACTGGTATGATAGAGCCATTTCACATTGTGTGTCTGTTACAGAATCAAGCGGCACACTAATATACACAAAGGATTTTCATACAGAGAATTATGGCTAAGATAAAAAACACCAGCAAAACCATGCAATAGTGTTACACGCAGTGCTCACAAAAATACATAAGCAGCTCCTGAACATTATGTAATTTTATATGCATAACTCTTTAAAGTGTTATCACATCCCATTAATTAAGGATTGACAGATAACTGTGTTCAGTTCCTGACAGAAATAACAGCAATTCTGGCCCTTTAACCTAATTTCAGCAATATTGCAAGCCAGCCACTCTTTTGTTCCATCCTGCTCCTGAGATCACATGACAGGGATTTTATAGAACAGAAGATAGCATTCAGTAGCAGAGATGCAATATTTTTCGTTTATTGCTTTTTGGTTTTATGTTTTTATCTCCTGACACCAATGACAACAACGTGAAACATAGATTCAAGAACTAATGTACAGTCTCCCACAGCAGACACAAAACTTTAAAAAAAAAAAACCTAGACAGCAGCAGTGTCACAGCCAGCCAAGAGTACTGGAATACTGAGAGCGTGACGTTAACAGAAAAGCTGAATTTGCCATATATACAAGGGACTTTTAAACTATGGGCTCAAGAAAGGAGAGTAATCCACCTCTCTTAGCAACTCATCTTTTGCTTGCTTTAAAACTACGGTATTTACAAGTTACTCCTTTGCCTAAGATCTTCCCATGATTCCTTCTGTTCCGAGTATTGAAAGCCAAACTGCTAAATTTAGTGCACAGTTCGGGACTTTGATGATCTCCCTCAATCCACTTTTAGCATGCAACCTCTCACATACTGGCCACATTCTCAGCCTGGGTTCACTGCAGTGATGGAGTCTTCTCATGTATATAGTCTTGCCATAACCATCAGTTCACTAGGAAAGGGAGGTTTTCTGATGCAGAGGACACAGTCAGATTGAGGACTTGCCATGTGTGTGACCAAACACCCGACTCTGCTGCTCTGTTGTTGTCTTTCTAGCTTCAGGTTGGGAAGAAAGTGATTTTTTGAGACAGGGTTTCTCTGTGTAGTATTGGTGCCTGTCCTGGATCTCACTCTGTAGACCAGGCTGGCCTTGAACTCACAGAGATCCGCCTGCCTCTGCCTCCCGAGTGCTGGGATTAAAGGTGTGCGCCACCGCCACCTGGCTGGGAAGAACGTGTTTTAAGGATAGCCTTCTGTGACATTTTCCTGCACTGTCATGGCTAGAGTGTATAATGATGCATTCTTACCTTTATCTTCCTTAGGCAATGCACTGACTCTTAAGACCACAGCCTATCCAGGACCGAGGTGTTAACAGGTACACCCTACACTATGTGGACCCAAAGACCAGAGCAGCCAAAGCTGATACTGTGACTGTACCCATTTCTGAAGAGACCCAGATGAATCCTGGCCCACAAATCTGAGATAATTGTGTGTGCTGTCTGGGCCATGAAGTCCTGTGGGAATTTATTATGCAGCCAAAGATAACTAACCAGAATGGTACTTTTCACTCTTCACCCCTTTTTATAAACAGAAAATACTATGAGATAATCCTTCTGTATGCTGTGAATATGTATTATTCTCATTAGTTAATAATAAGGCTGATTGGCCTATAGCAAGGCAGGATAAAGTTAGGTGGGACAATCAAACTGAGGACTCAAATGAAGAAAGGTGGAGTTGGGAGAGATCCAATCAAGCCACCCAAGAAGCAAGATGCCAGAGGACCAGTAAAGCCATGGGCCACCTGGCAATACATAGATTAATAGAAATGGATTAATTTAAAAGTAAAAGCTAATTAGTAATAAGTCTGAGCTATTGACTGAGCGTTTTGTAATTAATATAAGCTTCTGTGTGTTTATTTGGGACCAGGAGGTCAGAACAGAAAAACTCCACCTCCATTTACAAGAAAAAAAAATATGAAACAAGGGAGAAACAAGCAGAAGGAGCAAACTGGGAACAGCCTGAATGTGACAGAATGCATAGCATTTTCCATTGACTTAAGACAATGTGTGTGTGGATACAGTGGAAGGTACATGTCAGTATGCATACGTGAGCATCGTCACAAAGACCTGCAGGCTAATCAAAGTAGAGGCTCAGATCCTGGGAAAGGGTCAGGCCCAACAAAACTGGAACAAAGTTCAAGAAAGCATTTCTGGGTGGGTGGGTGGGTGGCCTTCTGAATCCACAGTGCAACAGAAACAAAATAAAATAATCTTTAGAATTCCCCTCTGTGATTTTGTATTTATATTGAATCTTCTCCATTTTAAGCAGGATATCTTTAGTCTTTGAAATCCTGTTTCCTTCCTGTTCTCAAATAAATGCTTAAATCATCATCCAAAATTGTTAACTTACAGTTGGCATTTAGGAGGTCAATGAACACATATATCTAAAGCGCAAAAGTAAAGAATCCAAATAAATGAAAACAATTTATGCCAATAAAGTAGGAAAGGATATGAAAATGTCTCCTGTAGATGATATGCTGACTGCTTTGGTCGGTTTCTCCCTCACCTTGCCGGGCTGTGTGACCTTCTCTGTTGATTTGGAAGTCTCACCCTTGACCTTTGATTTACTGAGAACCCGTTCCAGTTTTGTTTTACTCTTCTCTTCTTTAAACACCTCCATCTCTTGATGCAGGACGAAGTCGAGTTGAGTCTTATTTCTTTCAGCTTCCTGTTTGTGAGAAAGTAGTTTGTCAAGCTTCAGTCACATCTCCCTGCCAAAGTGAATCTTTCAGGAATCTACACGTAGTGATACCAACATTTTCTCTAACTGACCTGAGGAAGCTAAGTTAAATGATCTGGTATAATTCAACAGCTTTACAATTCGAATTAATAAATGCTATTGTCAGGCTGGAAAAGAATAATAATTAAAAAAGGTCTTCCATGTTTATGTTATTAAAACAAAGCCCAGGCATTTTCCCAAGTTGTGATTTTCAAGGCCATGATCAACAATGGTACCCCAGAAAGACCTCAAAAAGGGGGTGCTTACAACACCAAGGATCAGAATTTGTTCTACAAAGAAAACAAATGAAAAAGAAAATTCACACCAAAAAAACATTCATCACATAGAAGAATCACTCAACCCTCATATGTATTCTCTGGTATATTTATGGATATGCACATATAATATAGTATTTTCTTTAAAAATGTCATATTTTTACAAGAAAATACATATTCACAAGAATAGGTAACAGAATATATTTAGTGAAATGATGTTATTTAATTTGTAAATATTTTACCAGTGAGTGTTTTGGTCATTTCAAACCATTTTCTATTAAAATTCATTATACCTTAGTTGAAAGTTTCTGTACAATTTTTTCTTTAGAAGAAACTTTTAGAAGTGAACTTAGTAAATGAAATGGCTACATTTCCCCAAGACTTTCACTGGGTGTTTTCTTTCAAAGAAGTAATTCATGCCGATATATTAGAAATGTGGGAAAGATTTTTTGTCATATATCCACAAATATTAGGTATTTCTGTTCCTTAAGTTTTAACAAAATTGTAGGTGAGCAGCACCTCTTTTTAAAGTGAGATTCAATAATTAACAAAGTTGATACTTATGTTTCTGTGTTTTATTAGCATGTTTGTTTTTGAATCACAATTTGCCTATTTGTGTTTCTTGGGTATTTCAGGGAAGTTTATGCAATATCTTTAGATAAAATATTTGAGACTGTCTATATTGACAAGATTCCCATTGTCGTGGCTTTCAATTGGGGATCATGTCTTTCCTGAGCCATGAAAGCAGCTCACATTCACACTGGAGAACCTAGGCCTTTATAACTTACAAACCAGAGAACAAGGTGTGGAACAACTCTAACCATAAGTTACCACTTGAAAGTTATACATTTAGGGGAGGCTGGAGAGATGGCTAAACAAGTAACAGCATTGGATGCTCTTCCAGAGGCCTCAGGTTCAATGTCCAGCACCCACATGGTGCTTCACAGTTGACTGTGACTCCAGCTCCAGGGGATTTGATAATCTTTTCAGGCCCCCGAGGGTCTGCATGCACATGGCACACAGACATACACATGGACAAAACACCCATGCACATAAAGTAAGTAAATAAAATTTTAAAAAATTAGAAGTTGTTACTTTAGTAGACTCAGATTCATAAACATGTTCCTTTTGGGTAATAATGCTTAGGAAGGTTGGCTTTACCAGGGTATCTGACATTTTGGGAGTGTGATATTTAGTTTTTGTCGTTTTGACACAGGCTAGAGTCACCTGGGGAGTGGGGACCTTGGCTGAGGAAATGCCTCCATCAGATTGGCCTGTGGGCATTCTCGTGGGACATTTTCTGGGTTAATGATGAATCTCGAAGGGCTCAGCCCACTGTGACCGGTGCCGCCCCTAAGAAGGTGATCCAAGGAAGCTCGCTGAGCAAGAGCAGCAAGCAAGACAGCAAGCAGCTTCCCTCCATGGCTCCTGCCTCTGCCTCTTCTCCAGTTCCTGCCCTGATTTCCTTCAGTGACCGGACCTGTAAGCCAAACTAACCCTCTCCTTCCCAGGTTGCTTTTGGTCAGTGTTTTTGTCACAGCATCAGAGAGCCAGCTGGGACAGACAATGACAGGATGCTGTCATCACCTTCACTGGGATGCGTGCAGCCCACAGTGGACGCTCTTGTGGCCGGTCAGTAACGTACTACTCAACTCTTGTTAATGTTCATTTGTAACTCTGGTACTTTCAAACAACCAGGACTGTATTTAGCTTATTTTTCCCTGAATATTTACTCTGTGTGACTCGGTGACGATTTTATCCTTCTATAAGAACTTTTAGTACCATGAATTATTAAATATTGTATTAGCATGTTAATTTGAAAGTGTTCCTGCTTTACATTCAACACCAGACGTGGAAGTGCTTTGGTCACGGAAATCTTACAGTATACACTCATGTTGGATAAGGATCACCTCCTTAACTGTTCTTCTTTTGCGTAACTGATTCTTGTCCTTCACATCTTATAGCAGCTTTCTTATGCTCAACAATAACTGCATTTGCAGGCATGAGCAGATTTCTTTATGCTTATGTATCAATTTGAGAAACACGATACATTGAAATACTGATAAAAACAAAACTTTCAAATTGGAAAATCTATGTTCCTTCACTCTTCATCTATGACCCTTCATTAAAAAATGTCTGTACTTTTGCTAAATACTGGTCCTAAATCATTCTAATTTTTTTGTATTCCATTTTCCAAATGATGTAGTTGAAAAAATATTTTGGATAAAAATCTATTGCTTTCTTACTTATTTTATTCTAAAATGCAGTCTCTTTGTTAATATCTACCCTTTAAAATTATATAATAAAAGAATTTTATATTTTAAGTAAAATGTTATATAGAATATAAATATTTATACCTTTGTATGTCCATTTATGAATGTTTATATCTCATTTTAATTTTTGTTTGGTTAGAATTTGAGAAAGAGCAAAAAGAGACAATATACTAATCTTATTAACTTTAATTGGATCAACAGGAGTTGGTTCTTCCTTTCTGCCTTCCTTATCCATGGTTATGGGCATCTGAGTGTGGGTATGTGTACATTTGTGAGCGATTTCCTGTGGAATCCAGTAGAGAAGATCAGATTCCCTGGAGCTGTGGT